CTTTTCCAATCAAGGTAATTCTGTGATTCTGCAAAAACCTTTTGGGTCTCTCCAAGACTCCTACACTCAGTATGAGCCAGTGAGACAGAGCCACGTCCTGTCCCCACCACCCTCCAGCACCCAGTGAGATGTGGCCCTGTCCGAATGGTGGCCTAGTGGCCAACCAAAAAAAATGTCCGAATGGTGGCCTTGTGGCCACCGTGCTCCCCCCTCTCCAGGAAGGACAAGCAAGAGTCGAGCAAGTGTAAACAGTTGGGTAACACTTCCTCTTGGCCAGCCACTCACAATATTTAGCAAACACCGTCTCCCCACCCTCCAGACAGCTCTGTTGGTGTAAGCACCCTGAGCACGTGGGGCGCTGGCTGCCCTTCTCCCCTCTGCTGCTGCAACGACATGAAGGGGAGCGAGGGGTGTGGGAACACCAGGAGGGGTGTCCCAAGGGCATGAAGCCCCCAGGCAAAGCCATCTCTTGCTCCACGCTGGATTGCACAGCAAAGCGCTGCCTGGGTGGCCAGGGAGCGTGGGAGCCCAACTGCCAGAGGACAGCTTTCCCCCTGCTTTTGGGCTTCTCAACCCACGTAGATTTGCTGAAAAGCCACTGTGAGAGCAGATAAGTGCTCTGAAGCCTCCTGGGACCGTGCCGACCACACGCAGCATCCAGTCCAGCTTTCCCAAAGCGGAGCAAGGGACTGAGCATCCCCGCACTGGTGGATCTGCCGATGCTTTGATCCGAATGCAGCTGCCCCGGGGAGGCTCAGCCACGTGGATCCCCACGGCCCTGAGCAGCTGAAGGGCAGGCAGAGGATTCAGCTCCCAATGGCGCTGCCATCTCTGAGTGTTCTGGAAAGCCACTGCATTCCCCCCGCCGTGGTGATGAACTAGGCTTAGCTCCATCAACGTGACTTGAAATGAGGGTTTATTATTCAGAGGGACCTTGGGGACAGCGGGCACCGGTGTACAAAGCCACCCACAGCGTCGTAGCTGTTGACACTGACCCAGTGCAGAGAGAAAATGTTGCCCAAAGCCACCACCTTCAGTGGTCCTTGGGAAGCCACAGTTGTCACCAGGGTCCCAGCTCAGCCAGGTCCTCCTCCCTCTGCCCCCACCAGCGCTGGAAGCTGGTCCTTGTGCAGGAGATGGGGACAGCAGACAGCACAGTCTGTCCCCTCCATCACCCCTCACCCAACCTGGAGACATGAAGGCTGTCTGCTGTCAGAGTCTCAGGATCTAATTTTAATTAGATCTTTTTAAAACAGATCAATCAGGCTTTGATCAGAGGGCAAAGGCTTTGTGGACATCTCTGCCCTGCAAATCCTACCTGGGGTGACCACATCTTACCTACCTAAACGCTGATCCGGTTTCAAGCAGCAGAGATGATCTTCTCCCTTCCTAAGGACATTATTCAGCCTGGATCCTGCCCAGCTTATCTGTGCCCACCCAAAGGGCTCTGGTGAGGGGGGTCCTTGCTGCTGGCTGCCCCCTCTGTTGTGGAAATTTGGGGGTCAGGAGGTGGTGATGATCCCCTCAGCTTTTGTGGGATGGCAGCCTCCTGTGCGGCTGGGTGGGCACGAGGGGCGCAGTCACGGCTCGGGGGACAGGCAGGAGCCTGGGGGCTTCTCCACCCTGCAGGCATGGTGCTTCTGGGGGGCAGCCCCAGCCCCTCTCTTCCAGGCTGCCCCCTTTGCGTCC